GCTGTATCTACACGTATAAGTAAATATAGGGTTACTGCTATTAACTTTATCGATCTATGATATGAACGATAGAGATGTGAATATGTGGAAAGCAATACATAGAGGGAATAAACTAACACGAGTTACCCAAATTTCCCTCCAGTATAGAAGAAAGTAAAAATAACCTTCTGTAATATTTTTATTGTGTTACTATTAATTATTAATTTATTAATAATAATATATTATATAATATTATTTATTAATTTTGTATTAAGCTATGTCGATGTTTATAGTGTATAGTATTCGTTCATTCATGTTGATCTTTTAGTATAACTGACGTAAGTGAAACATATTTCATTAATTGTATTTACTTCTTTATTTTTAACGTGAATGGTTATATATCATAAAATGTTAATTTTATCTGTAGGTTAGCTTGATAACGGTATAAACCGAAATCGATAGGAATCAAAAACAAAATAAAAACATCAAGAAGTATAAAATTAACAAGTTTTATTGGATTCTATTATATAATTTTGATGAATAATGGAAAATTTACAACACATATATAATAATAAATGTTCGAAAACGTAAAAACGACGTTTGCATACAGCGCTATATGCTAAAACTGAGATGATAGACCTTAAGATAATAAAGATGGAATATAAAGAATCTCAATCAATGGAAGAACAATATTGCTAGATTAGATAAACGAAAGAAAAAATGAATTAATTATTGATACTGGACTGAAATGTAATAAAAGGTTGGGTATCTAGGCTAATAATTTAGTTACAGTGAACCCTCTATATAGCGAACACCGATGTAACGAAATTGTCGTTATTGCGTTAAGCCACAAATGTCTTCAACACATTTTATATGGCACTTTTTTCATTATAACGAAATTTTATTATAATGAACTACGAACAATTATTTCATCCGTAGAATATAATTTCAATGCAAACTATTATCGTAATTGCGAATACGAAAATTTTCCTTGTTAACTCAGTCTAGACCATATTCTAGCTAGTTTTTAGTGTTTAGCTTTGGAAGTGGACGAGTTACGACTTACTTGCTTCGCGAACGTTTCGGGTTGAAGCCAAGATGTATCAAGATGTTTTAATATTGATGAGACTGGTATTTTTTTAAGCTAATGCTAAACCGTACTTTGGATTTTAAATTCAAAAAATGTTATGGGGGCACTAAAAACAAAGAAGGAATAACAGCAGTTTTATGCTGCAATGCTGACGGAAATGAAAAATTAAAACTATGAATAGTAGGAAAATTAAAAAATCCAAGATGTTTAAATAAATTCGATCGTTCCCATTTGCCATGTCATTATACTGCTCAGAAAAATGCCTGGGTAACTTATGTAGCATTTCGAGAATGGCTCAACGCAACATGGTAGCTCTAGACAGAACAGTGTTGTTAACAATGGACAATTGACCAGCACATAACATTATGGGAATTAATTTGCGCAATGTTAAGGTCGTTTATTTTCCGGCTAGCACAACAAGTGCACTACAACCTCTTGATCAAGGCACAATTCCGACTATGAAGAAACGATATCGTGCACGACTTGTTAGAGCAGCAATTTTGGCAATAGAATCAAACCAAGAAAAGCTAAAATGGAATATTTTACAAGCGATGAGAGCGTTGTCAGATTCGTGGTGTAGCTCGTTAGTAGCTTTTTACTTAAGTGCTTTACTGATTGATAGGCTGAATTTGCTGATGTAGAATGGGAAAATTATCAACAAATCATGTCAGTTCAACTTATACAGGTTAGTTTTAATAATTACGTCAGCGTTGATGGTGCGATAACGACTACAGAAGCAGTAGACATAGACTTAGCAGTCGTGAATGTAGACCAAGAAACCGAAAAAAAAGAAGAAGGCGAAGAACACGATGAAGAAGAAGTTAATATAATAGCACCTTCAAGAGCTGAAGTTTTAGTCGCTCTCTATACAATCCAAAGGTAACACAAATATTATTAGTTATCCAACTATGTAATTATTATCATCACAATTTCAAGATTTGCTGATTCAGAAGAGAATGTTTCTGAAAACTTCATAGGTTCTTTGAATAAAATTACTGAGGAATACCTAATATGTACAGTCAGAAAAAAAAGAGATGCGTCGACTTTCGTTCGTATAGGACGTCCAAATTACATTTTCGAGGTTCATTTTACATACTGTATATGGGATTTTGTGTAATTTGGACGACCTATACGAAAAAAGTCGACGCATCTCTTTTTTTTCTGACTGTACTTATTATATTAAACTTATTACACAGTCGAGGCTAATATATTTACCTATAGTCTACCCATTATCATTCATTATAACGAATTAATTCGTTATATCGAAAATACGAACACCTCATTATAACGAACGGTTTACTTTCCTCCCTGCGTGTTCGCTATATCGAGGGTTTACTGTATATTGAAAGAAATTATTTGTTGGATCCATTGTAACCAGTGACTAAATAATTTGAAAGTAATAAATTTTGTACTTTTACTGGTTAAAAACTATTTAAAAACTATCCGCAGGTTTTGGGGTCCTTGCGGCTACTCCCAACTCCTTTCTAGTTAATCCTACACATTTGACAATCCTTTACTTAGTTCAATTAAAAATTGTTTTCTTTTAATTCCTACAGATGAATAATATTTTAATTTTTAATTGTTTTTCGTTTGTTGTCTTTTGCTTTTCATTTCTGATCAGACATGTGTGACATTCTTTCGGAACACCCCGTGATGTTATTCTAAAAATACGCCGTTGTGGAAAAATTTTACTTTTTTAAGAACTTGTTTTATTTCTTTCTTGAACCATTTGGCCAAGAGTTTTTAACTTGTATTCGTCGTAGTTTTAAAGTGTTTTCTGTATAAATAGTATAAAAAGAAAATTTTTTGAAATGTTAACTTTAAGTTAATAAATAGACTGCGTAAGTAATAATAATTATAAATTTTATATTGTTCAACACTTATTTGTATAACTTTTTCAATTTTCTTTGTTGTTTAACAACATGTTTTTTGATGATTGTTTTTTTGATGATTATTTTTAAAATTTTTGGTTTTTTGATACTAATTTGAAATTGTACGACTTCTTGTAGAGCTTTGAAGATGATCGAATAGATCGAAACATGTCAGCTTCTAATGAATAAATAGTTTTTAACCAGTAAAAGTATAAAATTTATTACTTTTAAATTATTTACTGTATATGGTTGTGAGTACCTAATCAACGAGAAAATTTATTATACAAGCACAGTATGTTTAACCCGATTTTTCAATTGTTTCTTCATGTTACAAAAAAATTACGATGCCAATTACAATGTCGCTGTTACAAAGGGCACATGGCAGAAAATTACACGTCGGTCCTTTGTACGGTGCATTGTACACGGTGCGCCGCATCGTCCATTTGAGCCTTCAAATTTTCAATTACGTTCGGCACCGTAACAAAGTTTGAATGTTGTCAGAATGGGGCTGCGGGCGGTGGCTGGCAGCACCATCCAACGGATTCATCATAGTTACGCGATCCATTTAAGCTGATGTACGGTCACCATTGAAACGCGGTAAAAACCGGCCAAATTGCGCTCCCTATTTGCATATTTATTTAGAGAGAGTTCCCGGGGAATTTGAAGGGTAAAATATGCACGCCGATTTTAGGGTAAATCCCGCAAGCCGACGCCTTGTGCCTTGTCCCGTTCGTTCTGGCCTTTTGCTGACGCCCCGTGTCGCTCCGGGGGATATAAAATGTAAATTAACAATCGCCGAGCTCGATTTAATTTGCACGGGTCACAGCGACCTCTATTTTAGATCCCAGATCACTTTGTAAAAGATTTGTATCATTCCTGTATAAAAATTTGGTTTAACAGCAATTTTTTGTTTGTAGAAAATAGTAGTGAAGGTCACATATAATTTTGAAGAATAATGTTCGACCTATACCTTATGGCAATTTACTTAAAACCAATGTTATTGAACCTCTCAGATTTAATTAAATACAGAACCTTTTTCTCTTTTATTAGCTCGTTAAAATTTTTCTAAACGGTAAAGTTGCTCTCGCGCCTATTAAGGCAATTGATGACATTCATAGTGTTTTCACCACTTTACGCTCTAGTTCTTCTGGCAGGAATAGCTTTTCTCTAAATTACAGTTCTTGGTCTAAATTCTTCGATCCGCCTCAATCATGTTAATTAGTCAACTTAAGTATAATCATCTGTGTTATTATTAATCCTATATGTTATTATATTTAACAACATTATTGTATAAAACGACAGCAAATAAAAAATAAGAAATGAGAAAGTATTTTTTTCTACATAAAAACGTGGTAATATATTTAACATTCTGTTGGAGTACAGCTTTTGTTACATTTAACACCGGACCGCGGCGGCTAATCTGCTCTTTGGAAATTTTATCGCGACCTTTTCTACACCGCCCGGACGTTTCCTGGAAACTCCCGATGGAAATATGTACAAGAAAACACGTCGCGCATACCAATTTCGACTGATGGTGAAAAATTTCCACGGCCCTTTGTAGTACCAACTCGGTTCTTTTCAAATGCAGACGTGCCCACTTTAGAACTGTTCTCCGCATATCTGTACAAAGATGGGGGGAAACTTTATGACCGCGGATAACTTTCAAGTGATATATGATTTCGTCGTAGAATGTTCAAATATACGTGTACGTGTTATTAAAAGATATATCGAGTTGAAAACAAAATCCTTCAATTTTAAGGCACAAAAAATTTCGTTTTAACGTTATTTAAAGTTTTAGCATGTGACATATTCGTGATTACTAAAAAGCTATAGTACGTTTACCTCACGTTCAGTTCGTTATAACAAGTGGATAATGCGCTGTCACAAGCACATAGCAACACAATATTTCATTGACACGGTAATACAAGCTGACGTTTAACGTTAACGCTGTTCAGGGCTGATACAGCTGTATTCGTTTTGTTATCTCCACCCACTGGCCTAAATAACGTGCCCCCAGTGATAGACGTTAATGATCAAGTTATAGTGTACTTAGTCAAATGTCAAGCTATAAAGATTATATTTAACTTTAAAGTTTAAATCTGGGATAAGTTTATAGAACGTAAATTTAGAGGACTCGAAAACAAAGCAAATCTATAATTTCCATTTATCAAATCGTTACAGTTACATCAGGGACTTGATGCATTATGTAACACCAAATTAGTTATGTATGCTAATTAAATTACTCTGTAGTTAACTATAAATCATGAAATTTAAATATGGTACAGTTTTAGTTAAAGTTGTTTTCTTCTTTGGAAATCGGTATTACCTGAAAGAATAAGTAACTCTGGCTTAGTTTGGTTTATTATTATGCTCAATTTACTTATTAGGGGCTGTGCCATAATAACCATATAATAAAAAAATGCTGCATATAATAACCATACCCATGGTAACCAAGTCGTTAGTTATGAATTACTTTTAAAATTATGGAGACGTAGACTTCCTCCAACAATTTCGGTAGCGGTACTAGCATCTGGAAAAGATGATGTTAACGATTTGTTAAACATTCTTACTCCATACCGTTTCAATACAAAATTTTGCAAATTAATAAACAAAATATTTCCACTTTAGATCCCTTACCCATTAATAAAAAACAAGACATTTTCAGAATTTACGTTGTCATGTCGTGTCAAAATATTTTGTAAATGATTTGTCAAAAACAAACATTGATGACTACCATTAATAGTCTTCAATCACAAATGATTACTAAAAATTATCAACCTAAACAGGAATTTTGTTCTAATTGCAAAAATCAATACAAGTCACGTTCTAATTCTAGAAATCGTTCTTTGTCATCATCCTCTTCATCTAAGCTGTGTTTTTATCACGATAAATATGGACATAATGCTTTGAAATGTTCTGAGGTGTTTACTATATTTATCATTTTCACGGCTTTTTATTTTCGATAAAACAAACAATTATCATTTTTTAATCGATATGGGTGCAGACATCAGTTATTCCTAGATCTATTTTTTCAAAATATAAAAAAGACAAAGATTCTTGTCTTACAGCTGCAAATGGGTCAACTAATAATAATAATAACCACTTTATTAATGTCAAAAAAAAAACAAATATCATTTTGCCAGCGAAAGGCAATTTACACATTGTAACTAACTAGCATTTTGACATCAAAAGGAGCAGCACAGACAAGTCTGATTTAAAGCCACCCCATACGTAAAGAAAAAAAAAACCAATCAAAAATTTTTATATCAAAAATAAACAGAGAGAAGAAGAATGTAATTAACAATAAGAGAGCTCATTTAAGAGACAGGCGGGTGAAACTCAGAGGTTACTAGTTCGCACAAAATCAAATTACTTTTGCAGAATATATCTCATTCTAAAACTAAACCTAGTATACTAAATATGCTATACTATTAAAAATCACATTTTTGTATCTTAAATTCAAATTATGCACATCAGTTCTATAGGTAATTTTTCCGTACAAGTAAGGAGGAGTCTTAGTAGTTACTATTTGATGTAGACGATACGCCAGATGAAGGGAACGTCTACAAGTCATGTCCAGCCAACCAGCGTACGCAATCATATGAGAGATCCCATCCTCCTGCCTAATACCGTAGACAAATCTGAAGCAAGACTTCTACACTCTCTGAACTCTTAATGAGTCAAGGGCAGTAAGACAAGATCCATACACCAAGTCACAGTGATTAAATAGAGAAAGAATTAGCGATTCACAAAGTAACAACTTAGTTTCCCTATTAACATTTATATATATAACATTTTTAATTTGCCATACGACTGTCGTATCAAATTGTTGATATGATTACCAAACCGTAAATCTCCGTCATTGGTTAAACCCAACACCTTGAGTTTATCCACGATTGGTACAGGATTGTGAATTATCTCAACATTAGCCGCATCATCCAAAAACAGCTTTCTGTAGCTCTTCGCACCCAAAACAATCATAGGACACTTCAATAGATTCAATCTGAGTTGGTGTGCCTCAGACATAGCAGCCAAATGATTTAGATCAGAATTTATTAGATTCACTGCTTCTTTAATGTGATTGGGTGGAAAAGAGTAATAAACCACAGTGTCATCTGCATAGAAGTGATATTTCCAATATTTAAGGCAATCAGGAAGAAAAGATGTGTAAATTGAAAATAAATCTGGGCCTAATATAGTAATAATATCCCTGTGGTACGCTTGATTTCACCAAACCGTTACAATTTCACCTCCAATACATCAGATAACTCATAATCCATTCTTACTCTTTGTGTTGTGTGACTTAGATAATTCCTCAACGTTTCAACCGATCCATCACTCAAGCCAACATGGTGAAGAATAGAAAGCAAAATACCGTGATCAACTGTATCGAATGCCTTCGTATAATCCAAAGCTATTAGTACCGCGATAAAGCCCCTGTCCGATGCTGCAAGTATATCATCAGTGACACATGATAGCGCAGTATCACAACCGTAACCCTTCCTAAAACCTGACTGAAATTTAGGTAATATTCCTTGGTCAAACATATGCTTACGCAGTTGCACAGATATTATTTTTCGAAAATTTTCGACAAAACAGGCAGTATGTTAACCGGCCTCAAGTCCTTCCACGATGATGGCTGCGGAATCTTGGGAATAGAAATAACTACTGATTCCTTCCAACAGCAAGGGAACCCAAAAAAGGTAATACAGGAGTTGATAGTATGTCGTATTTCAGGTATAATAAAAGGACAGCATAGCTTCATAATCTTGAGATTAATACCATCAGCATCAGGGCATCAGCACATCGTTGCTCTCAGTGAACTGTAAAATTTTGTTAATACCATTGTTTAGTGAAGAAGAGTATTTTAGACACACACCATCTTTCGAATTAGAAAGTGTATTGACAGTTACAAAATACGTATTGAGCATATTACCATCCTTAAGATTTTCTGGTATATTATTATTACGTTTATTAACAATTATGTCATTGTTACATAAGAATTTCCATTTGTATGAATTAGACACACTCGGCAGCTGCTGCATAAAATAAGCTTTTTCTCAGCTCTTGTAGCACCCATAACACAATTTCTTAAGTTTCGATAATAATTACCATCACAGTCAGTATGGGTTGATTTATACTTTTTTAAAGCTTTTTCGCGTAAAGACTATAGCAACGTACGATAAAAAAATGATAAATGTTACTTTGAACCTCAGAAGAAATTTTCCATTTATCTTTACAATAGCTGATGAAAAAAAATCGGTTACCACAGGCACAATAGATATGATAGAATCTGTTTTAAACGCATTCGATAACAAAGAATATGTTGAACTTACCTGCTGTGATCTCAGTAAAGCGTTTGACACTGTCGATCAGAATATACTACACAAAAAATTGTACTATTATGGCATCTCACACAAACTATTAACATCCTACTTGAAAGAGAGACAACAGCTGGTGGAAGTGAACAGGGATAGATACTCAATAAGGTGGCTCATGAACGGAGTACCACAAGGATCAGTTTTAGATCCATTGCTATTCATTATCTATATCAATAATCTGCCTTTCAATATAATATCCAAAGTGACATATTTATAGGCTGATGATACGTCATTTATAACAACAGCACCTACGGGGCAACAAGTGAAAATGTGCAGCGACAAAGGCTTGGAAACAGCAGAAATATGGTTCCATAACAATAAACTAAGAATCAGTACTGATAAAACACAATATTTAAAATTTGCGCCAAAAAATGACCCAACAGTATGTAACATCAAGTATTTAGGGTTGAACATAGATAGCAAACTCACGTGGTAATCACATATATCGGATGTAGCTTCCAAATTAGCTGGTGCAATATTCACAATCAGGAGAATGAAAATGGTTGCAACTCAGGAAAAAATTCTTACTCTACCTTGTATTTACATCCTTTGATTACCTGTTTAAACTATGTACATGGGATCAAGGAGAATCCAGGAGGAAATAATCATACGCATAATTTCAACACCTGAAATAATAGTGCTTTTTAGGTACCATACCACATGATCAAGACAAGCCAAAATCATGTGGATTACTGGGGCCCAATATTATCAAACTACCACGCTCTACAGACCAAACAGTTAAGAACAGAAGAATCTATTAATTTCCAACAGTTTCTACATCATTGACGATTTTTTAAATTATAAAATATAAATGTGTATTTCAATGTATTGTAAACAAACGTTTAATCGATTCAACAACCCAATTAATATTAACTGGTCCACTGGTTAATAGCGATTTAATAAGAAATCCAGATTTTTCGAAAACCGTTCAATAAGCATTCCGTTGAATATAAAATTGTAACAAATTCGCATCTACCTTTTTGTAAACCAAGACGTCTGGATTCTTCCAAATACAAATTGGCTAAATAGGAATTTGATAATATGATCTCTTTGGGTATTTATAGACAATCATCATCTTCAATGGCATCAGCGTTGCATATGGTACCTAAAAGAGATTCTGGTGATTGGAGACCGTGTGACGATTATCCTCAACTAAACTTGATTACAATGCACGATAAATACCCTTTGCCACATATCCAGGATTTTAATCTAAACTTACATGGTTGTACTATTTTCTCAAAAATTGACCTTGTAAGAGCAATATCATCGGATTCCGGTCGCTAGGATGGAATTTGAATTCACGGATGCCTTTTGGTTTGTGAAACGCGTCGAAAACATTTCAACGTTTTATAAATGAGATTACAGCAGGTTTGGATTCTGTTTTTGTATATTTGGATATCTTAATAGCTAGTAAAGGCGAAAATGAACATTTTGTACATTTAGATATTCTTTTTAAAAAACTAAACGACTTTGGCATTAACATAAAAAAAAAGTATTTTTGGTGTAGAATCAATTAACTTTTTAGGTCACAATATCACTTCGAAAGGAATTCATCCTTCACAAGATCGAATTGAGGTGATCTAAGTAAAACTAAATGTTTTCTAAAATTATTTATAAATTTTTACCACAGGTTCGTACCGAATTTTTCCTCTTTACTTGCACCGTTATATCATTTTGCAAATCATCTCCGAAAATTTCAACAAAATCCATAAATAATTGGTCAAAGGAATGTTTGCGTCGTTTTTACGAAGCAAGAAAATGTTTAGCAAAAACAACCATTTTAGCTCATCCTTGTAAAACTGGTTAACGTTATTCAATTAACGTTAACCACAGACGCTTCAAATTCTTCTGTAGGTGCCGTTTGGTCACAAACAACTGATAATATTCCATAACCTTTAGCCTTTTTCTCAAAAAAACTCTCACCTTGTCAAACAAAATATGCGACCTTTGATAAAGAGTTATTAGCAATTTATTCCTCAATTAAACATTTTAGGTATTATTTAGAAGGAAATCAATTTGCGATTTATAC